TAAATCATTCCACATTCGTATCTGATGGACTGAAGCTCGTCTTAACTGTTATTAGAACAAAGAAGAAGTGTAAACCTAGTTCAAATAAATGCAGTCTAATTCAGCAGTTGTGCAGTAAATCCTCACTTCGAGGAGTCTGTTTTAAAGATGTTGATAATTAACTGTGTAGTCATTGAGGACCATGTACTTCCTGGTGCCGTTGAATTGTATTGCATTATAAATAATACTACTCTCGACGATTTTGTCCACCCTATTAAAATAAAATACGAGTAGGCACCTTATCACAATACGAAATTAAAATGATTCCAAAGCAAATTGATCATGTCAATTTAGTTACTAGGCTGTGGAGGAAAAAGGGTGCGCTGGCCGTGTGAATTTCAAAATAAAGGCGTATCCTAAAGACTAAAGACTGCATCAATATATTAGATTGGAACGGAAGCACCTGTACTTTGCTCAGTAAGATGCTATAGGGTTCAGCAGCTCTCAAAATGAGCTCATAAGTGAATCAACCGTTGTTGATAACACAGTGTTTCAAATGACACATGCATGCCTTTCTGTTCTAGGTAATAGTAAAACCTATGCAATGCATGTGGCTTCGTAAGAAGGAAAAACCGACTGCATCACAAAAGGTTGTGGCATCATACGCAGCCTTGTGCTGGTTATCAAGGCTTCGTGTCTACAAGGCACCACTCACCGATTTCCATTATCAATGAACCTGTTCATTATGTTGTAATGATCACAGTCCAAAATGTTAACCAGCTGTGTGAACAATGTTCAGTGTTCAATTGTAATAAATAGCTGCAGAAGATTGACGAGCCGTTAAAAGCCCAACGAGGGGACTTCAGGGACTTACTCGTTGCAGTCCATCCCTTGTCTAAAGTCATTGGTTGTGTCTCTTCCGTCCCCCTCTTTTTGCCCTTTAGCCCCTGAGCAACGCTTACCACGAGATGGCTCAGATTTACACCACCAACAACCCGGCCGAGTTGCGCGGTGTGGTCAACAAACACGGCGAGACCTTCACGAGAGACAACAACACGGGCCTGGTCAAGCAATGCCTCTCGTCACTCTACAAGAAGAACATCCAGAGGCTAACGAAGGTGGGTGTCTGCTTCTGTGCGTGTTTAGCCAAATATTTACAGCAAAAGAATACGAGTGACGTCCCTCCTATACTCTATTTAATATGGCTTGAACTGTATGGTTGTCTAGGGTTAAGGATTCGATTTTAATTCAGTTTATCTGAGGAATATGGTGCATGCAAGGACGGCCTCGGCAATGTTGAAAAAAGCAAAAGGATATCGCCATGTTAAGCTGTTTTACTCAAACTGTGAAGCGTCTAGCTGTTGAGTTCCCTCTATCTGGCCAGCTGAGAGCAACACCTTTTTAGTCTCTGATGTGAGACATGTTGAAACATCCCAATCCTCCTCCGCTACGGCTCTGTAGCACGTCATCAGAAGTACGTGACAATAATCCAAATGGCAGGAAACGTTCCAAAAACGTGGGGAAGTGAAGGGAGACGGCAACACCTGATGGTCAGCTGTTGAGTCGCTTTTAGAAAGCCGAGCAGGTGTGAAGTGAGGGCTTGCTTTAAAGTTGCTTCAGCCGAACACCAATATCCACCAGACACTGTCCCAGGGGGAAAGGAAGTGTAGCTGAGACTATACACATAGTCACAAGTAAAGTGTCTCAGTTTTCTTAAAAGCATTTTGCAAACTTGCTAAGAAAGGTGCCATTAGAATGTGGTAGTGAAGAAGTTTTATTATTTTGTATTATTTTCCTCCTGCAGACCTTTCTGACACTGTCCTTGCAAGACATGGCGAGTCGAGTGCAGCTGTCAGGCCCGCTGGAAGCAGAGAAATACGTCTTACACATGGTGAGCCGGTCCAAATATGTTGTCTTCATCTCTGCACATTCAGCCAATACACAAAGATATATTAAACATGTATTTCTTTTTCACTAGATGTTGTACACAATGTTAGTTGTATTTCATCTACTTCATAGAATACATTTAATTGCACTAATTAATCTAATTGCCAGTAGATTTAAAGGTTTTGTATCCGACTTTCTACCAAACAGCAGTTTACCCTCGTTATTAATCCTGTTCTCAATTCTCTTATCACCCTCCTCCCGCGCTTCTGTGCAGATTGAAGATGGTGAGATCTACGCTAGCATTAACCAAAAGGACGGCATGGTCTGCTTCCACGATAACCCCGAAAAGTACAACAACCCAGCAATGCTCCACAAAATTGACCAAGAGGTGAGTCCGTCTCTCTCGGTTCACAGTGGTGTCCGTTACAATGATGTGTATGAAACCTGGAAATATGTCTGCTACCTTTACAGCAAAGCCAATGTCTTCTTCTCTCCTTTCAGATGTTGAAATGTATAGAGCTGGATGAGAAACTAAAGTCTATGGATCAAGAAATCACAGTAAACCCACAATTTGTGCAGAAGGTGAGGCAATCAAATATACAGGGAATACCAGGAAAAGTCATGGAAATTAGTTATCTTAAATAAACCACATGAACATAACAAATATACGTTTGAAATAATTCATATTGTTTTATAGAGAGACACTCAAAATACAAGCAGGACGCTCTCGTACTCACAGCGCAAATAATTCGCACCGTGGTTGTGTGAACGCACCTTAACTGAATAGTTCGGTGGCCATAAAGACCGTAGCTCAGGAATCCTCCACTGTGCCGGGAAGTGTAGATGTAACCGTGGTTGGCTACATATGGAAAAGTGCATGTCATGAGTTAGGACAAACAAAGACCCGGGACGAGCAGAATGTAAGCAATGTGGAGGCAGAACATTATTTCAAACATGGGAGAGCAGCATTAACGTCAGTGTGCCGCTGCTAGAGAAGTTACTACAGAAACCCCATCAGAGGGCGACTGCTACCGCCGAGCAGCACGTCTCTCTCTTCGGCTAGCGGCTCCGTACACAACACCAACATTTTCTGAGGGGGGCATTCCTTTGGTGTTGTTGTCATTGAGCCGTACTGACACGTGACTTCATATTCTTGCACAAATGACAGGAGATCGTTTGATTATTTTTGTTTTGTATTTATTTTCCGCAGCAAAGCGTCAACTTAATATACAATTCATTAATTCTGCGGTAGATAAACGTTATGCTCTCGTGCCTCATGCAGTTCTGTGTTGCACCTGCTGCAATCATGACGTCAATACATCCAGACACACAAGGAGCGTCGATACAACATGAATGCTTTCAATATATGTCACAAATCTTTAGTTCCTGCACAATGTTTTAGCACTGGTATCAGGAAAAGCTCAAACGATGCTCATCCACAGTGGAACATTGTAAACAACAAAAACAGACTTTCTTGGGGCCTAATTGAATGGTAGGGGAAACACTGTGTATAGCTTGGAATTCTCATTGTTAGTTCACTTTTTCATGTATACACTAAGATTTCACGAAATCTTTGGTCATGGAAATTTTGTTTGAAGTCATGGAATTCCATTGGTCAACATGTGTATGAACCCTGAATATATTATTATTATTTTTTTGTTACAAACATGTATTTTTGATGTTTTGTGGTATCTTGGCTGTCTCTCCAAGTACGTACCTTCAAGAGGCTTTTCATGTGGTTAAATTCAATCAATAAGACAATAATACAACAAAAGCGTTGTCACTTAATGTTGATGGTTAAAACTCCCTGGCTGTGTTAGTTAGAAAATATAGAACAGAATCAATTAAGGGTTTCCCAGTCAAATTAAACTGCTGAAAAAAGACAGAAGAGATTACAACTATTCAAGATTTTAACTGTCAGCTGTGGTTTTAGGACATATTCCTGGAGCCATTGCTCTGAGTTGTTTGTCCGGCCTGGCGTTCTAAATGTGTGACACTTTGTGTTTTTCAGAGTATGGGATCGCAGGAGGACGATGTCGGTAGCAAAACGTCAAGTTATTCCTGAGGGGCCTTGGACAGGGAGAGAACGCTGCAGCCACCCAACACGTTCTTCCCAGGATGAGTTGGATTTTTTTTTAAACAGGAAAAACAAACAAACATTCTATTGCATAAGGACTTTGGTCAAGGAAAATCTAATTGTGTTGAATGATGATAAATTTGGTTCTTCTTTCTACACAGTGTCTTGAGGATAACAAAAGGTCCTTACAGAAAAGTTAAAAAAAAAAATACAATTTTGACAGTGTTTTATTTATCAATGTTCAGGTTGGAGCGCCACTGCTACATTAACAGAAACCACACAAATAAAAACTGGACTCCTTTGTTCCAGACATGTGTGTAAATATTCACACTGTTTGATTTGGTTCTGCTGCATGATGGCTGTAACAAGACGGAATTACATCTATGGCTGGAGAAGAATAAATCTGACATATTTTCCAATTGTAAAGATGGATTTTATCGTGTCCCCTCTCACACCTTTTGGTTAGATTGTTGATATCATCAACAGCAACTCTCTACACATGGACACGCCCTTGACCAAACTTGGCACAGTGGAGGAGTGGTTTACAATCTGGTGCACTGTTTTTTTGTTTTTTGTTTTTCTTCCTTTTTTTTAGGTTGGATCCACTAGAGGTCGCTAACGCACTGTATAGAAAACCGTTTTGACAGCTTGTTATTACAAGAGGTGAAGTCAACAGATGAAACCAAACTGTCATGTAATTTGGGAGCCTGAGCTTTGCGATTGTGGATCTGTTAATAATAAATTGTTTAAGAATATAGCTCTGCGTTTCATGCCTTTTGTGAAAATATCCTCATTCCTTTGGTTCGACGGACAAGGTGAATTGGAATTTCCTACTAGTCTTATTTTCTCATCACAACCCTTTAACGTATCTGACTGATGCCATGAAGCTGGTTTACGTTTCAGCCAATGATCATCCTCTCGCAGACGGATGCGGGTTGCGGGACTATCGCGCCAATCACTTCGCAGCGTCCCCTCCATTGAGGCGGGACTTGATTGCAGAAAGAAAGCTGGCACACGCCACTCATGTGCAGCGCTCGTTCCTCATTGGTTCGCCCGTTATGAATGAGGTGGGTCTTGACGACACTCACCGTGGAAGCTACTGTTGAAATTCCACTGCTAATCAACTTTAGCCAGCTTGCTAACATGTAACGGTTAATTAATCGAACGCGAGGAGCTTCACACACAGCGCTACGGTTGACATGAGTTAACGACCACTCATTTGCAACTGGGCGATATGTGACAAATAGTATTCTTGTTTTCTACTGCGCGTGTCTCCGTTACTGCAACCATGTCAAGTTAGCCGGAACGACGCAATCGGTGGATAACGAACCGGGCAAGCTAGCCCACCAGCCCGTTCCGACTGGGTCCGCGTTCGAGCAGGTTTCGTCGCCCGGAGGACGCTAAAGCCCGGTGCTGTGACCACCATGAGTCCCGCGGGCTGCCCCCATGCCAACGGCTTCAAAGTGGACAACTGGAAGCAGAACCTGAGGGTCATTTATCAGTGTTTCGTGTGGAGCGGTTCAGCCGAGACCAGAAAACGCAAGGTAACGAGGGACGAACGGACCCGTGGATCCGAATCTGACGTGCGACGGACTGTGTGTGTGTGTGTGTGTGTGTGTGTGCGTGCGTGCGCGCGCGCTTGTTTGTGTGTGAGGCGAGCCCTTCCAAAACAACACGCCGAATGCCCAAGTAGTTTCGTCCCAGTCAAATACTAAATCCGCGCACCGTCCAGAGTGTCTCCCCAGGTAGAACAAACCGCACATGACAGGCTCGCTGCTGAAGCGAGCTCCCCGCATAAAACCCGCTTAACCCCGCACAGCCGGACGTTAGCTTACGAAAAACAAAGACCGCATAACATATCAGAAAGCATCTATTTGCATTGGCTCCTCTTCCTTCCACCAGCAGAGTGCAGCATCTCACGGTGGCATTCTCTCGTTAGGGGGGGGGCTTAATTGACTCGAGCATACTCGACGTGTTATAATTCACCCCCCCCACTGATGCATCCCTGCTGTATCTGCTCAGCAGGACGGTATCACTGGTAAAGCAGAATAAAATACAATTTATCCAGTCCTACATACTGTAAACATCCACAAAACACGCGGATAAAGCGCAGATGTGCGAAATATTAGCATGTTATGGCCGTGTCATTATTGAGTGCGTGTGCAAGATGCATGCACTCATGCATTTAAATGTGCTCTGGGACAGCTCCCCGTCTCCTGTCATCTGCCATGGGATCAGGGGACACTAGCAGCCCAGGGGGCATGTTTACTGAAATAAATGGGGTTCAATATTTGCAGGATCTCCTTCTGTTGTGATTGGCTGATTTTCTGTCCCCCACCCGACTCCACAGACGGGCAGATGGGCTCACGTCCCCTGCAGTGCTTTAGATGCCCCTTTAGTGCCATATTTTCATTGCCCGAGGACATGTCTGTACAATGTAGGCATGCGTCTCACAGAAAGCACATTCGACGCGAGGCTCAGTAACTCCCAGTGTGTGTGTGTGTGTGTGTGTGTGTGTGTGTGTGTGTTAGAATGGGAGTAAATCTCAGGACCCATAAGCTTACCGTGCATTATTATCCTCAGGGGAAACGTTGTGTGTTAACCCATCTTTTATTGTTGCTGCTTCCACTATTGTATTCCCTCTGGTTAGCTGGCTACAGAGGACCAATGTGAACTACACACTACACCTGGGGGGGGGGGCATCTGACATCTATCATTTTGAAGGAGAAATATCCTCATTCACGCTCCACTCTGCGCTGAGCTATTGGGCTTCCTCCTAGGGTCGACTTGAAATGGTGTTAGTCTTTGGCCTTTGTCTGCATCCGACTGACTTCGGGCACAGATGGAAGGCTGCACTCCCAATCACGTGAATAATGGCCGCATTGAATTTTAACAGCCCACCACAAAACCTTTTTTTTTTTTTGAGGAATCCGCAGTGCAGCACTGACCGAAGCCTTGCAGGATGATGCGTTCCGGATCGCCACGAGGAAATGAGTACCCGTCCACATGTTTCTGTTTGTGAACGATCCTTCTTCCCACTAGAACTCTTGAGCTGTCAGAATCGGCACTGTTTCCTCTGTAAGTCCTGTAGAGACGGTCTCCTGTTGCTCTGAACCACGGCTGTTCAGCAACACAAAAGTGGGACCAAAGCCAGAAGGTCAATGAAAAGTCTTCCCATTCGCTCTGTGTGATGATCAAATCCGAAGTCGGGGGTGACATTGTGGCTGCGGGGCGGGGCCTGAAGAACGTGCACGTTGTTTTCAAACATCAACAACCACTTGTCCCATTTCCGTTATGACCGCACAGTATTTTTGACGGAATGTCCCTTTTAAACCCCCTCCTCTGGACAAAGGGAAAGCCTTCGCCTCCAATGGGCGAGACGGATGTTGCTGCATCCGGCCCGACGGGGGATAATATCCTCACTAATACTACGAAGCGGGATCTTTACGGCCCATTACCTCCTGCTGCTCTTCTCCCGTATCGTGCTGCCGACAGATGGGTCGTCGATGTCATCGCAGCGCCCTGCAGAAATGTAACATGGACAGAGCTCGGGCAGGGGCCCGTTTTAGTTGCTACGTGTTTGTCCAAGCAGAACGACTGTGTGTCCCTGTGTACAGTGGACGATGGACAATTACGGTCTCCATGAATAGAGCTGTAACACTGGCAGTTGGAAGAATGAGTGAGAAGCCATTGTTCCACATCGATACCTTTTCACAAAGACATGTACGATCTCAGCACTTGTGCACGGAGGGATGGATGTGGCTGTTTTGCGTCCATGTCGATGTTGTAAATACAAATATCTGAGTCGATTGACACCACTCAGTAAAAACAATTGTGATAATCCCCCCCCCCCACCCTTCATTCCCCCTTTCCTCACAGGCCAAGTCGTGTATCTGCCACATGTGCGGTGCCCACCTCAACAGACTCCACTCCTGCCTCTCCTGTGTCTTCTTCGGCTGCTTTGCCAAAAACCACATCCACGAACACGCCAAGAGCAAAAAGCATAACTTAGGTACGACACACACACACACACACACACCCCCACTGGTGCAGACGGGGCTCTGTGGTGCACACGGTGCCACACTGGGCATACACACCTGCAATTAGCTCCCTTTAGCTGAAATGAGTTGGTCCCGCCCGCTGAACAGACACCACGCAAACACTTCTCTCGGAACACAAAGGCGGCTTAAAGGGCCAATGGAGAAGTGACCCGGGTGACAAACACCCTGAGCGCATCGATATTTGAACCGTCCATTCGTTACATGTCAAACATCTTTTTGTCACCTTCCCGGTCGGGGTGACTCTGCGTTCTGTGAGGCTTTTTTTTCGAGCGGCAAAATACCGAGAGCAACAGAGAGCGCGTTCATCGTGCGACCTGCTGCAGCTCGATCGCAACGTGGTGAGAAAGCCTTGCAGAGGATTCAGGTGTCCCATTAGAGTCGAGGACCGGGGGGCATGGTGGCCTTTATTGGTGTTTTTGGATTCCTCTGAAACATTCAGGGGCGTGTGGGGGTGGGGGGGGGGAAGAGCAGAAATGAGATCAGCCCCCGCCCTGTTTTGATGGGATTATTACTATTCCAAGTCAGACGAGTTGAAACGTCCAGGACCCACAGGAATAATCTGCTCTGGATTCGTTGACATGTTCTCGCCTAGTGTTTGAGCCTCGGGACGATGTATTACATATGATCCGTCTCTCTCATACACCCCCCTTCCCCAGTTCTACCCTCAGGCTCTCAATACTGTCATATAAGCCACAAATATAATACTTTTTTAAAAGAAACCAAAGCATGCGTTTCTCAGTGTTACCAAGGTCGCTTCTCGTTGGCGAGCGCTTACCGCGCCGACTGGGAGAGATCTGTTTGTCTCAATGAGAGAAGGGTGGATTTTTACAGTTCTGTGACGAGAGAAACGACAAACACAAGCGCCTCAGTGCGGGTTGGGGGGGCCTCGGGCGTAGGGGACGGATATTCAGCAGAGTGGCACGGGGTGCAGAGGGATGCCGATGGAATCGCAAACAAGGTAGAGCACTGTATTCATGCCGCGAGGGGCATTATCGTTGCTGCATTTATGTATGTGCAGGTGAAGAAAATGCACAATATTAACTGTCATTATATGAATTTCAATGGACGTCACTTCAGTCATGCTAACAAGTTGAGCCGGCCAGGGTGAAAAGGCACAGCATGGTTCACTATAAAGCACGCGTTGTTTTTCTTTTAGGTGGAGGATGCATTACAGATGTAGCGTTCCAACATCTGTACAGCCTTGTGTTGTCTTTAAGACCACTGGACGGAAAGCAGACCTCACAGATGTCTTTGTCCCCTCCTCATGGTAGAACCAGGCTGCTCTCAGCGAAGTGAAGTGCGATGCACTGCGGCGTTCTGTAGGCCAACTGCCTGTCATCTGCCGCAGAGTTTGTTTTTGTGACCGAGCCTCTTTTGCTCAGCGTTATCGCTCAGCTGATGGAGCCCCCCCCCCTCTGCCTGCCACCCGTCTGGTGTAATGGTGTGTTTAATTAGGTTAACTGCTCAATCAAATGCTGCAAAAAGACAAAACGTCGAGTGAGAAACGGATCTCAGCAGTCTGGTGAGGAGGTAATTAAATTGTCTTGAGGGAACCCTGTGGAATTGGCCTCCATTAGTCACATGGCCCCTCCTCCTTTCTGCTTCCTCCCCTCCTCTCCCGTCCCATCCACTTCATCCCACCGTTTTATGCGTTTCCACGTGCAGCTATTTGCTGAATGCCGTTTGCATCCTTAGCACTGGGCTCGTCCCTCGCTCTTCTCATCTTCCCTCGTTCCCTCCCCCTTGCTTCCTTTTTAGTTTGGCAATACCTGCGGAGGATGTCCGCTAGGAAATGCAGACACGCGGGTTGTCATGGCAACAGCAAACAGGTAGCTGCAGGTGAGGAGAGTAGGAAGGAGTTGACTCTTCAAGGCTCTCTGCGTCTCCCCAATGTTCCTGGATGGTTTTAACAAATAGCAGATTCCTGGTAATAAGGCGTCATGGCAACATGGGATGCCTGAGTAGCTGCACAGACTGGCCCCCTGTTGAGTTTGACTCGCAGTTTTCTCATGCATTATTTGTTCTTACCCCATCCCCCCCTCCTGTCCTTCTAGCTATTGACTTGCTGTATGGAGGGATTTACTGTTTCATGTGCCAAGACTACATTTATGACAAAGACATGGAGCAGATTGCCAAAGAGGAACAGAGGAAAGCCTGGAAAATGCAAGGTACGAGACCCCCCCCCCCCCCCCAGTTGTGTACACGTTCTGTGAAAGCTGAATGACGTCTCTGGTGAGTGTTACAGCGTGTGTTGCACTCGTGTGTGTTCCAGGTGTAGGGGAGAAGTACTCCACGTGGGAGCCCACCAAGAGGGAACTGGAGCTGCTCCGCCACAACCCCAAGAGGAGGAGGATCACCTCCAACTGTACCATTGGTTTGTATCACTTTCTCTCGCACACACACACGCACACGCACCAAGGTCATGTACGATGGTTGTGCTGCTACAAAGAGCTGAAAGTCTATCTGGGTCGCACTTTTAGTAAAAGGACAATTTTTAGGTCACTCACCCAACAGCCATTAGGTTAAAAACCTGATTTTGAATGCGCCTCTTTGAACCTGTGTGGAAACGAAAGACGTGCCACAGCAATTTTGAAACTTTCAAATAAAACAATATCCAAGCTATGCAAACATTGTTATTTATCTCAGAGAGAGCTTAATGTTTTACAACGGAGGACAGGAGCATCCTGAGGACCACGTCACAGTTCTACACATCCCAAACGAGTCCAGGTTTGTTTCCCCCAGCAGTTTATGTGAATGACATCAGCTGACATGGACCTAAGCTGTTGCCTAGCAACTCGACCACTGAAACGCCCACGGTGACCTACGGTGATGGCAATTAGGCAAATAGCGTCTTTAGAGAAGAGCCGCATGTGAAGCGATAATGACTACTTGGGACAATGTGTGTGTGTGTGTGTGTGGGGGAGGGAGGGGAGGAGGCTGGCACAGGTCAAACCTCTCGTCGCAGCCAGCAGCGATGTACTGCACAGTTAACTGTGCTAGCTGTCACTGTCTCTAGGACAGGGAGGTCTACGGGCTGGTAACATTACCTCCATTCTTCCCTCCCCTCCCTCTGCCGTCCCTCAGCCCCATTCCTCCCTCTCTCCCATCGTCTGTGTGTGGTTTGGTCTGCAGTAATCTCACAAGGGTTTCCCTGACTGTGGTGCTGCCTCAGGACATCAGATTTCACTGGTGTGTGTGTGTGTGTGTGTGTGTGTGTGTGTGTGTGTGTGTGTGTGTGTCTTAGACCGTTAACAGCATTGCAGCTTAGATCAAATCTCTCTCCTCCCTCTTCCTCCTTCCCATCCATTGCTCTTTGTTACCCGCTTCTCACGTCCCTCCCGTTGACCCTCCAGGCCTGCGGGGGCTGATAAACCTGGGCAACACGTGCTTCATGAACTGCATCGTCCAGGCGCTGACGCACACTCCGCTGCTGCGTGACTTCTTCCTGTCCGACCGACACAAATGCGAGATGCAGAGCAACTCCTGTTTGGTGTGCGAGATGTCGCAGCTCTTCCAGGAGGTAACACTTCCCCGTTTTCTATGGCGTTCGCAAAGAATTGGTTGGCTAGAAGAAGAGCGACTAGATGAGTCGGCATGTTCCCGTTCTCACACTCGCACGCCTCGTTTCTCAAGTTCTACTCGGGCCACCGGTCGCCGCACATCCCGTTTCGACTGCTCCACCTGGTGTGGACCCACGCCCGCCACCTGGCCGGCTACGAGCAGCAGGACGCCCACGAGTTCCTCATCGCGGCGCTGGATGTGCTGCACAGACACTGCAAAGGTTGGACGCAGACGGACACAACATTTTTATCAAACATTTCCAGCGCTTTTTAGGAAATGTCCTGCAAGTTTGGTGATGGTTGATCCAACGCTGGCAGAGGTATTTCCATTGATTTACTGAGCCACGTCTTTCATGCAACGTTTCGATAAATTATGGTTTCGGAGAACATTACGAGATTTGAGACCTTCAGTGCTTCTTGAGTCATATTTGTAGGTTGCGGAGGATGGAAGTCTGTTAAGTGGCAGCTTGTCGGACTTAAGGCCCCATTGGGCTCATGTTCGTAGGGCTGCACCTGCACACGACCCACTATCACAAGTGGAAATGCGTGTAACATCTACCGTCTCACGGGAATTTGCGCAAACATTTCTTGAGAACAGTAAAATAAAAGCAGAAAAAAGTTATTTTAGTACAGATCATGTATAACATACTCCTGTTGGTAATGCAATCCCATTTAGTGGAAGCAAAGCAGACAGGGAGCGCTACCACATCCTGCTATAACAACTGAGGTTAACACAAAGTGCCTCCAACACATTACTCAGAAAACATCCTTCATTTAATGCAGTGGTGTTCCAACTGTTTCGGTCCCATTTCATCATTGAAGGCCACACCCGCAGAGCTCGGCACGTTAAAGCGGGGCGTAAAGCAGCAAGTGTGTCATAAACGCTGCATTCATCGGAGTGCCGGTGAGAGGGAAGGAGAGCTGGTTGAAGCAATAATGGATGAGAGGAGGAGGATGATGAGGAGGAGGGAAAGAAAAAGAGAGACGGATGCACCCGCTATCGGAGATGCTGAGGTACACTGACTGTGTGTTTGAATCCACACAGACGACAACGGGAAGAAAGCCAACAACCCCAACCACTGTAACTGCATCATCGACCAAATCTTCACGGGGGGCCTGCAGTCTGACGTCACCTGTCAAGTCTGCCAGTAAGTGCGCTCGTCTGTGAGCTTCGGAGGAGACGCGAAAAAAAATGATTGAGTCCTCGGTCCTGCCAGGATAAGGAGATTAAAGCGTAATGGAACGGAGCCACGGGGCGCGCACACTACTCCATTGTCTGCACGGTACTGTAGCATTGTGTTAACAGCGAGCCTCCCCTCGTGCCGTCTGAACAAGAAGCCTCGCGCTCGTCCCCCACCATCCCGGCTCGGTCAGCTCGCCGATCCCCTGATGTGGCCCTTCGGCCCCACGGTGCACCGTCAATCAATCGCTCACATGCACGCCGCCCGGCTCCACTGCAGCAACAGTGAACTGCTCAAGTGGCACAGAGTGCACAGCTGATCTCTAGTGCCACCCGGTGGTCAGATACCTCGCCTGGTATGTGCACAGGCACACGTAAGAACTCGTGGAAGAAAGTGTAGCGCCGATTCATTAAAAATAAATATTTCTGATATTTCCACAGCACTTTTTACTTTGATGGGAGACCAGGCCTCTAAAGGAAACCCTATTGCCGCACGGCTTCTGCTGATTCATACATTATTCCACTTTATTTTATTACCTGTGCACTGTTGTCTTGTCTGTCTACTGTCGCGCACTAACCGCCAAGACAAATTCCTTGTATGTTTGACATATTTTGGCTAATAAATGTTTCCTGATTCCTGATCCTGATTCACTCCACATTCTCCATGTTAAAATCTAAGCCAAACATGGTGCCAGCTCCTCCTAAAGGAAAATGCACTGCAGATATTGAGCAGATTTTAACCGCATATTTCTGAATCACTCAATCCGGGTCAGGCAGTCAGTAGTCGACATTTTTCTACCTTTTGTGTCATAGTAGAGAGGTTTATTATCTGAAGTGGTGAAGCAAAGTGGGTGCAGCAGAGTTATCTTCACATCCCAGAGCGTTAGCCGCGTGCTTGTCTGTCCGAATGAAAAGCCTTGAAGTGAACTCTTGTCGCCGTGCAGTCGAGCCACTGCGACGCCTCCAAGCTGAGATATGTGTGTCCGTCGGTCTCCCTCCCCAGTGGCGTCTCCCCCACCAATAGGACCATTCTGGAACATCAGCCTGGGACTGGCCGGGCTCCTCCATCTCCGTTTCTGGCCCCTCAGCCCCGAAGACGGTTCGGCGCTAACCGGGGAGAGTCACGCCGCCGGGAGCCACGACACTCACGAACTGCCTGCGCAGATGGATGATCATTTTACTTCTTTCTGCCGTACAGTTCGGAAAAGGAAGTGCAGGCCCCCGCCCCCCCCCCCACCCATCCAGAATAAATCATGCGTGCGTATGCAATCATAAGGGCCAAACCGTCGACAAATTAGCGCCGACAAAGGCCTGACAGCTGGCCAGAGAGCTGCATCCAAAGACGTAGAAGCTGGAAAGCTGACGACGATGCAGACACACTGCAAAAAGTGGGGCAGCAGACCGACACTAGTGCGTCGGGCCCCTTAAGAGACAATCAAACTAGTTCCTGGAATTAACACATCAAAGCCCTAAAGTTAAACACAGTTCCCTGCAAACGAATTCTTGTTCCTCCCAAATCCGCCAGAGTCCCCAGGCAGCATCAATGAGCCTGCACACACACACACACACACACACACACACACACACACACATGCACTAAATCTCATCCTCTCCGTTCCAGGTTCACCCGGCCAGAGCACCTCGGCAGCAGCGCTAAGATCAAGTGCAGTGGTTGCCATAGTTACCAGGAGTCCACCAAGCAGCTGACCATGAAGAAGCTGCCCATCGTGGCCTGCTTTCACGTCAAAGTAAGAGTTTGGCCTCGCCCGGAAACATTTTGGGGGACGACGGTTATGAGAGCGGTGTTCTCGTTTCCTTGTTCCTTCTCAGAGGTTCGAGCATTCAGCCAAACTGCGCCGCAAGATCACGACTTACGTGTCCTTCCCGCTGGAGCTGGACATGACGCCGTTCATGGCCTCCAGGTGAGCGTGAACTCCAAACAATGGCGACGCTTCCAATCCGGTTCTTCCAGTTCCAAGGAAGAGGAGAAGCACACTGCAGTAAATGCTCCCTCTTTGTTTGGTTGGATTTGTGGCCCCAAAGGACGTGTTTAAGCCTTTAAGAGGAAATACCATTGGCCAGTCTTGCTGAAACCGCCACTGACCGACTTTCTAACGTGTGTTTCAGCAAAGAAAGCAGGATGAACGGGCAGTACCAGCAGACCCTGGAGCCCTTCAACAACGACAACAAGTAAGGCCAACATGTCAACCAGGAGAACCAGTACATCCCTCTCACACTCAGGTGGGGGGGGGGGGGGGGTCATATGAGTGACTCCAGTGACAGCAGGCCTCACTAGAACGCAGTGGGGGGGGGGGTTACTACAACACCATTTATCCCACTGTGTACCAGGTGTGTTTAGTCCCAGCGCGCCGTTGGTTGAGCCTCTCCTTCCGCCTGTTCCAGGTACAGTCTGTTTGCAGTGGTGAACCACCAGGGGACGCTGGAGAGCGGCCACTACACCACCTTCATTCGGCAACACAAGGACCAGTGGTTCAAATGTGACGACGCCATCATAACGAAGGCCAGCATCAAGGACGTGCTGGACAGTGAAGGGTGAGCGACGGTAAAAAGCCGTTTTGGTTTGAGTTTTATCAGCGATATTGCAACGTGACCTTTGTGTTCTTTTCATCTCCCCAGGTATCTTTTGTTTTATCACAAACAGTTCCTGGAGTACGAGTAGTTTCCCTCGGCGGAGGAGAGCCGGGGAACGGAGCGAGGGTTGGCCGCGCGGGGACACAGAAACAAACACGAGGCCACCTGAACAATCCCCCTCCGTCCCTACACGCTAATCCCACATCAGAGAGGACAAACCCTGAACGCAAGAGGTTTAAGAGGGAGGTTGGTCTTGGGTCTGCTTGAATTCAGGGGGGGGATGAAGAAGATAATCGGCTGAGGGAAAGGAAGCGACTCGCGGGTTGACTGCCTGCTTGGCACAGCGGCGTCCTTCTGTTCCAGAGACAAACAAAGGGGCAGCAAGGTTGTTTTCCACCTTTTTTGTTGAGGTTTTACTCGATCACGGATGCAGTTCTTCACCACGTTTTTTAACAGGTGGAGTCACAGCCTTCCACGGGGTCCCGTCCCCCCCCTCTTCGCTCCACCTGAAGCAGTTACCTCCTGGACACAAGCACACTCGCCTAACACAGCCACACTCCTGCAGATGACCAAATATTTCAAGGGCGGAAGTTGTCTCATTCTGTTCAGAGCGGCGGGGGGGGCTATGAGCACCGGATAGAGGGACAGTGGATTCCACTCATTCGTTGCGGGATCGTAGTTGTCAGTGGAATACGGCAACAAGGAGTACGCACAGGATCTGTTGTCTTCTGCCTCTCATGCTGCTTTCGACCGTCACGGGGAAATAAATGACAGTGAATTCTCTATTTTTATACATGCTGTAATTAAATCATTTGTTTACGATTGCTCTGTAATCTCTCATTGTTCCACTGTGTTACATTGTGCCGTCTGTGCATTTTTAAATTAATTTTTAAGCACCCAAAAAGGTGCTGATGACGTTGACGAACCTGCTGCCTCGCCTTCATTTTATTTGTCTTTTTTTTCCTGTTTAGTTTGACTTCAATTTGTCAAATGTTTTGGTGTTAAATAGGCAAATTCTTCACGTTTCATATACTTTGTTGCGATGCTATTTCAGGTTAACGGCCACATTTTGTGTGTCTGTGTGTGCGCCCTTTAAAAAAGGACAAAAAGACAAGCTCAGTGTAGGTGTATAATATGTGTTATTACGCTTAAAATGAGAGAATTTTGAGAAAAAAGCTATTGTGTGTGTGTGTGTGTGTGTGTGTGTGTGCGCGCACACGTGTGTATCGTATGTTCCTGTACTGAATCAGTACTTGCGTTCAGCATGCCATCTGAGCTGGCTATCGCAGTTTGATGGGATTTCTTTTCCACATGTTGACGTATCTATAAGTATATATGTGCACTTTGTATGTATAAGAGACTAAATGGTGAAACCTCAAAGTGGATTTTTGTTCTTCTATATCTGTGGATCTGAACAACCCAGTCAGTCATTCCTCACACACACACACACACACACCTGTACCTGCTGCAACTGGACACAGTGATGGAAAGACACTCAAATAAAGAAAGAAAAAATATATATATCTGTAAATCCATGCCTCTAATTTGTTCTAATTGATCATTTAAAAATCAACTTTTTCTGTGACCTGTCAGGAAGGTCGTCGTTAGTGTGTGTCTGCTGGATTGTTGGGTTGAAGTAACGACTGGCCCAACTGTTCAACAGCTTCTCCCCAGATGTTCCTCATATCAAACTTTTATTTTTCCTCATTGTAAGTACAAGTGAAATCTGAATCACCCCCCCTCCCCCCCTTCCCCCTCGCACGCATACACACACACACACACATTTAAACATAACATGGGACAGTACTTGCACATACACATTTCAACTTGAAACCTTAACAGAGAAATCCTTCTCCTCAGTACAACTTTGTGGTGTTTTACTGGTTCAGGTGGAAAATCAACATACATGTATAGAGAGACAGAGAGAGCCTCCTTCCTGCAATCTGGTTTCTGAAAGTATCTCTTGTGATCATCTCGTTGGGGGTCAGTAACCTCTGGCGCGTTGATTCAGTGAAACCGTGACTGCAGTGCTGCATGCGTACGTGGTGAGCAGCGGTCTGTGTGAAGTGAACCCTCTTTAACACCAAGGAGGGCCATGTGAGGCAAAGCTTCAGTCCAATCTTCATCAGTTCTTCGCTCAGGGCCCGTGGTCACACATGGACCCTCATCATTAAGGACAGAACAACATCTTAGCAAGTCAACTCAATCTCCCATTTTCAGTTCTTTTTCACTGTGATTGAGAACCGCCAACGATCTTCTCCTGTGAGCTGAGGACACATGTGTCGTTGTCCTGTGAGACTTTGAATGAGCCTCACTTCATACAGCCTCCTCCTGTACCTCCAGCCCACAGGTGCACAGGTTCTCCTCGGTCCACAGAGGCCCTCGATGTTGGAAAGGGGGTTCGTGGAGGACGGCCTGCTGGTAGAATGAGAAGGGTGCTGCTGGTGGCCTGTCGTTGCCCTGGCCTAGAGACTTCAGGTCGGGGAAACAGTGGACACACGCGCAGGTCTCAGTGGGGCTGGCGTCATATGGGGGCTCCTGGTCTGTGGTGTGCTCATGCGTCACTAGCTCTGTGGAAAGACATGGGGAAGCATGAACAACACGCCGTGTTATTTTTCAATTATATTTGGAGACATAACAGCTTGGAAATGCAAGGTAATGAAAGAAAAGACTTGTCTGAAGGGGGGGGGGGGGTCCACTGTACATTAAAAAGCAGGCTCTGGCTCTGAGTCAGCCGGCCTGGTGGATTGCAGCTAAACTCTCTGTGTGGAGACGCAATCGCTGAAGCCACCTGCTGCCGTCTGACGAGCCGGCTGTTTGGGGAACTGTTAGCTCGTGAAGGCTATTTGTGAAACAATCCGGTCGTTAACATTGTCTCCAACCGTGCGCTCGTATCTCAACTTTGCTGATTAAAGTGAGAGTGATGAGTAAGGTTGCAAAGGGGCGAAAAGTTTCCGGAAAGTTTCCACGCAAATTTTGGCTCGGGAATTTTGAAGAGAACAAAATGTCTGCCAGAAACATAAACGTAAACATAAAACGTTCTGCTGTTTTTGAACGTCTTTGTCATTACCTAGCATATTGATTATTTTGCAAACTGAAGCCATGTTCATATTAATACCAAGTTTATTTGTATACAGTAGTAGACTAACTTTATACAGCAGTGGGAGTAGGATGTATGTATGTCCACACAAAAGTACACCATCACCTCGATTACTCGCGGCTTTTGGGGTCCATCAAAAAGCATGAGTTGGGCAAACTTATTACACTATAGCAGGGATATTGAGGCCAAACTACTGCATTTGAACACAAGTTTGGATGATATTACTGGGGTAAATATATTATTGATAAGACAAACAAGCTGCTAGTCATTAACAAACTGACAGCTCATCGTTGGAGAAAAGCTCAATGTATGAATTTTGAGCTGACATGAGTGGGAGATCGGCATGGACACTGTACACTGGAGGTACTGGCTATGTTCTAAAACTCTTAACGGTAAGCTAGCTGTCTTACTACCTTGATGTCTCGTCAAGACAGGTGTCTTACGTAGGCTAACGTGCTAATGTTAGAAAGTTGACTGACTCACGCCTCGCAAATCACATCAACCATTGTGATGGTGATGTGGGAGTGGTGATCACAGGGAATACACCTTTTTTATTCAATGTTCACGTTTGTGTTGTTCGATGAAAGAATAAAGTTCTAATCACAAAGTGTCAAAAAAGTAAAAAATGTCATTTTTAAAAGTTGTATTAGAACTGTTTGCATGCATGTCTGCAAACTCTCTATATTTAAATTACCCCAAAATTTCCAGTTTATTCCTGTTAATTCCTGTTAATTCCCGTATATTCCCATATATTCCCGTTAATTCCCGTGGAAAGCTTCCAACTTTGAATATTCCTGGAATTTTGCAACCCTAGTGACGAGCAGTCCTGTCTATCCTCAGAAATGAAGCCCCTTGCCTCTGGATGCTGGAGGTGGGGCTCAGAGACTGCAGCTTGACTGACGGATAAAGCACGGAAGAACCTTTTAGTTGTATTCATTCCACACAAACCTTTGGAACTCGTCTCTGAATGGCCGACGTCTTGGCCCGGCTGTTGGAGGTTGGCCCCCTTTGGTCCTGGATTGGAAGTTTTGGCCCTTGCTCGCCTCATTAAGACCACAAAGGCTAGAGACAAGCTGGAGCACAGCAGCATCATGCTCAGGGCCAGCAAGGAGTAGAGCACGATGGTGGAGTCCTCCGAGGCCGTCGGCACAAGGAGCCCTCTGGGATTGGGTGCGTGTGGGGTAACTTGAACCAGGAGTGTTTTGGTGGTCACATGGGGTGTTGGAGCTAGGGGGGAAGGGGGGGTGGAAGGGGTGGAAGGGAAGAATATGTTTGAAAGACCTTCATGGTATTTTTCAGGGCATTTCATTCTTTCACTAAGGGAAGAGGGATGACAGGAAACAAAGGGAGAACGATAAGGAGGGCCAATGACGCAATGGCTCCTTGATGGTCACGAAATCCAACGAGATCATCGAGGCCGTTGACCTCGACTAGCTAGAGAAGGACAGGTCGTCACGCCCTGGATTTGCTCAAATGTGGCAAGATGGTTGAGTTTAGCAATTACCCTTACCTAACAAGAGTTTGAGGGTTGGGCGGTCAAAGCGGGATCAATACTCACTGTGGCAGTGCTGGGAGCACTCTGCCGGATGTCCGCCACAAACCTCAGCGCACCTCACACATTTCTTCAGCAGCATGTCGTAGTAGTGCCCATCCCGTGCTTTACAATGTGCAGACTCTGATGCAGAAGAAGAACATTAGGATAATTGTTCTGTAAGCCTTGAACCGTGGATTTGAATGTGTGTATTCCCGTACCTGTGACCTAATTCGTGTGTGTCTCTGTGTGAACTCACCACAGTAACTGGCGCAACTGGCGTGGACTTGTGGTTGCTTGCAGTCCTCCTGACAACCAATACATTGTCGGGTCAAACCATCCCAGAACAGACCAGAACGGCAGCTTCCACCCATCAGCCCTGATGACTCTTGCCCTGAGCAACATGGAGTACAACACAGAGGTACATGGACAGAGAGATAAGAGGTGAGGGAAGCGCGGTGGCATTTTGCTCATGTGGTGAGTCAGTGGGTGTAACAACCTCCTGCTGTAAAGGAAGCCGGTAGGAATAGAAAGTCCACCATAAAACACAGCGCATGTGTACATGGGATGATAGTAGGAAGTATGTTGTGCATTTTATATACTCTATACTGCCTATTGTGAGAAGTTGTGCTGTACTACAGGCGCATGGAGGTCTGGCGTCGGACTTCTCTGCCTCTTTCCTGCCTTCCATTTTTTAAAATTCTTTTGAGCGAACATAGTAAAAAGCCCAGTGACTCAAAGGTTAGAGGGCCAACGGCAACATGCCCTGCTGGTGCTACAAAACACAAACGTCCACCCTTTCACAAATCGTGTATTTCGTTCTCGAACGCAGTCGTCTTCGCTCCGTTGAGCGCTGAGTCAGCGGACTGTGAAGGACACATAGACTTGAATCCTCTCCGCCCTCCACTGCAGTACACCACCGGGTAGTTCTCACACCGCCACCATCGGCGTAGCGTGCCGTTATCATGAACACATACGACACGTCTCCCATTATTAAAACCAAAGTGATTACTTCCACATGAACCCTAATGATGACGGTGTTATTTCCCACGTAGTTATTGACTTATTTAGCTTCGGCTCCTTTAGCTGCTGGGACCCACTGTGGGTTGAAAAGGAGGTTTAGAGGGACCACTCACCTGCAGAGATGGAGACGCGCTGGGAGATTCCTCGGTCTGAAGACGGGGTGCTGGAGGGAGAGGGGGGGTAGGCCTGTATTTCAGCGTTGGTAGCTCATTTGGTTACGCACTCAGTGCCTCGTGTGGGACTTCCCCCCCTGTGTGTGAGGAGACTCCCACCTACCCAACACACACACACACACACACACACACACACACACATACCCCTTTGGACGCTTGTTTTTTCACAGTGACACGTTTGACCTTCCGCTAGCTTTGGGTTGGAGGTTGTGTCCTTACGGAAATGTAAATCTTCTCCCGCTATTGTGTCAAAGTCAACAGAATACTTTTAGAATAGCTTCCCTCCTGAGTGGCAGTTTTTCTAACTTTCTACCTCAAAAGGAAAAGAACACATGAATTTATTTATTCTTACCTGTTTCAAAAACATTTGTGTCAAATATTTGTTCCTTTGTTCCATGATGCATCTTTTCTTTTTTCTTGACCTTTTTGAGTTTTCACCTGTCATAGCAGGAAGAGTGATTACTCATTTTAACAACAGCTGCATTCTAACTACGTGTCTAAATAGCTATTAGTATTTAAAACAAGTCCTATTACACTTTTCAGAGAGGGGCGTATATTGCCTTTATCAATCCACCTTACAGTGGGGGGGGGGTGGTTATTCAAATAAATAAATACATTTCACAAATCAGTGCACATACAGTGAAAACTATTGTTTCTGGTAGAAGCTTAAAATAAGAGACAAACTAAACAGAGACCACGGCGAAGCATCGTCCACAGTTAGAATTTGCGCTTGGAACATGTGAACCAAAGCCACTTTGTTATTGGTGTGAAACAGAGATTTGTTTTGGTCCTCGGATTAGAATTAACAATAATGATGACGGCAGACCGTGAAAGCACTTGAATGCAAAGCCTTCGGGTTCGAAACAACGCACCGGAGGAGCGACTGTGCAGCTGTTCGAAGGCACCGGAAACTTCTGTGCTGACGAGTCACTAAAGGTGTTAGTTTAGTTTCACAGCATGGGAATTGGGTCCTGCACAGTAAACATTTCAAAGCATTATCACCGGGTGCAGTCGTGCCGTGATGAAGAAGAGTGATGGACACTGATGATGCAGCGTGTGATGTGCACAATATATAACGTGACTGTTATGATCCATGAGTAGAAATGCATTGATGGGAACATGATCCCTTAATGTGTTAAAGATGCAGGTCTTAGAAACCGGGCTGTTTTATTTTTAAATTTACAAAACAAATGCACACAACTACAACTACTTTCTGAAAAGGTTGTAAGCATAAAAAGCTCCTTATGTTAAGTCACCAAAGTGACAAACTTAATGTTAAACGTAGCGTTTAAATTGAGTCCACGTTGACTTTCTTAAGGGTACGTTTACAGTCCCTAACAGGTAGAGCACCATATGAAAAACAAACGCTATTCGAACATTTAACACTTACAGCAGTTAAAGGACTGTATCTGAGCAGGTACGATGTTAATAAGTGAGACTTCCCAGTTGGTATGTAAATGATCCGAAAACAACTTTGAGTCAGAGAGGAAATTAAGATTTGAGGAAGTATGGAGACCGTTATGACTTGTCACAGTGACACCAAAAGCGTCTTTGCTTAATGCATTAATTTCGATAAAATTGATTAATGGCCAATTGAAGGAACAATTTCAAAAGGCCAAATACACATAAACATATGGAGGCATACAAATGTAACCTTCATGCATATTGCGAATCAAATTGTTTTTGTAAATATAGAATGCTAGATATGTATAATAGATGTATACAAAAAAAATATGGTTAACACAGAAATACAATTCATTGATTGCAGAGCATTCAATGTTCTAAGATTTTTGATGTGAGTATAGAAGCATGAGTAAGTATGAATAGGTGCACATCTTGTCATACACTATAGCACTAATGCCAGCTCTAAACCATGTTGTTTATATAAGTAGAAGGATAATCAGGGCCACATCCACTCCATCAATACTCCATTCACACCAGTAGATGGAGACAGCTCATCTATTTGAATCTACTCAGTGCAGGACCAACATTCAAGTGCAACGTATTCCCTGTGTACTTGTCACCGACTGAAATCTATGGCTTTCACTCACAGCTTTTGGTTCTGAAAACCTTATTTTTCTGGTGTAAATCACTTAATCCTGCCGCTTAATGCATGGAGGCCAAGTCTGGGTAAGAACTAAAAATGTTCTGACATGAAGACAAATTGCAAAAGATGAGGATGTTGGGCTTTGGAGTGGATGAACATGTTCCATCAAAGGATGAGAGGCCACATGATGTGCAGCGTTCCCTTGAAATACCTACTAGACCAATTGTTTTCCATTTTCCATATATATGTTTGTATGTGGCCTGTCCTTGTTGTTCTGTTTCTGTGTTTGGGACTTCAAATCCCCTTGAGAACGTTTGGAATTCACAGAATCCCCTTGAGTGCCATCTGTATACAAAATAGTGTTCTCCGCCTAATGTGTTCAGGGGTTAGAGAAAGAATTGGACTTCCTGCAAGGATTGCGTTCCTACACAGTGGAAAGAATATTCAAGTTGCACATCATAGTTAACATAACAAATGCTACAAATGCACATCCATTGACACACAAATACAGCGGTTTGGCCATGTGAGCAGAAACATTTGCGCCTGCGTTTTAATTGCAGAGACGAGGACATTGTCTTGTCCATTACAATCAATCTTTACATTATATTCTATGCAACAGTCACAAATAAACATCTGCTTTTGACATTATATCACACAAACATAAGCTATAGGTTGACAAATATCGACCAAAACTGTACTCCGTTATGTTGAAGTTACCAATATGTCTGTACACAACAAAGGCCTTTGGTTGTTTGGCTTTTGGGAGAAACCGGTCACAATGTTGTTTTGCTGTACATTGATTTCCTCGCATCAGTTTACAAGTTCCAAGGCACATAGATAAAAGTCACTGAACAGAAAAATACATATCCAGGGTTTTACATTGTCAGAAACAAGCTTGTAAGTAACAAAAAGCTGAAATGTGGCTAAGTCAAGACAATGGGAAGTCTGCATTGTTAGAAACCCATATCTTATTTCATTTTTTCACCAAATAGAATGTTACATTTGCGGCTGATCACAACTAAAACATCTACAAGACTGCACCCGATGGCAAAGCTGAAACTCAAGTACATCTTTGAACCTTTTTTCTAAGACTGTATTTTGCAAAGAAAAATGTGACCACACTGGTTTAGGTTAGCGAAAGGACACAGAAGTGGGATACACAACCCCCCCCCCCCCCCCCAAAGCACAAACAAGTGGGGGGGTACCACAAATACAACATTGAACGCTGCATCCTCTGGAGTGCACGTTCTAGCCCTTTGCAAATGATTGTGTGTCTCTGAAAAACGTTTTCCCCATTCCTCCGCTTCTTCCTTCTTCCGGTACACTTTACAGTGGAGGAGCGACACAGAAATCCAAACAAATGCCACATTGGTTACTGAATTGTGCCCAGCAGACAAAGAGCCAAGACACAAATTGAATTATTATTATTTTTTCCAAATATCACTTAGTTTGCAGGACCGCCTCAGCGCTCCTTTTAGCGCTACCTGACTACACTGGTTTTGGCACAAACCACCCAAACATTAACTAAACCAGGACCAGAATGGCCCATTAAGGTCTGGACATTTTTCAAAATAAGATATTTTTCTGAAAAATAGTTCCTTTTTTCTGCCCCTGCGAAGCATGTTTCAGGGTCACTCATATTTTCCACAAGACAATCCCCCCCAAAATTCTGGTTGTGCGTTCACTCCAAATAGCCTTTGTTATGGTGATGAGTCACATTATTACACACAGTTCACTGGGTCAGTATGACTCGTGGATGCAGAATTGGTCACTCTCATCACCTTTGGGGCTACTCAGGAAGGAGTGCTAGGAGCTTTGGGCACAACGTGATGAGCATGTACCTCCACGTATGACTACAAATATCTGTGAGTGTGTTCCTATTGGGACGTGTGGGTGAGGAAGGGAACAACCTTGCTAGCAATGCTAGATTATTTTCTGCAGTACCCTCCCGGGAAAAGCCCTCTGCTTCTCATTTCTTCTGATTGAACTGATTGACGGCTTCTAACTTGACTGATATACTTGGATGAAGTGAATCTGACCCTGCAGCATATGGCGGATGACCTTTTAGCTGTGTAGGCTTTGCGGTTATTTGACAAATCTCCTTGCAACAACATGTGGCACCATCATAGAGGTCCCTGTGCACGGACAGCCTGATGGCTGAAAGGGAAATGGATTAAAAGCTCATTCTGTCACCATAAAGGGAGTGATAAGGTTTCCAAATGCAGGTTATTGTGATATAATCTTTATTTGTAGCACGTTTGGCTCAGGAAGCTGTTGCCTAGTGAAGTCAGCCCACTTAACAAAGCAAGCTGGCGAGATAACTCATATCAAAACCTATGACTTCATTTGAGCTTTGAAAAGACATTCATCCAATTTACAGCACCAACTATTAGTTTATCAGCTCCCTTGTATCATCCATAGCAACATCTGTATGCTAACATGCTCAGCAGGTCAATTTGTCCTTGTCCACTTTCCTCTTTCAGTCGACAAAGTCAAAGCTTATGGGAGTTTTGTCTTTTATTTGGTCTTAAAGGGCCAAACAAATGTGAGCTGATCCTCTGCGGATCGTGAATGTTCGTACCTGTTTGAATAACCCGATATTTGTCGAGACGTGGCCCAAAGTGTTGAGACAGACTACCATTGCCATGACGCTATCACTGCTAAAGAAACAACCAAGTTATATCCACTGATTGATAATTCCATTAATCAATCTGGCATCCTGCCAGTCCTGCGTCTCTCAAGAAACAGTAATCGGGATATAAATACAATATAATGAATGTCACTGAGCAATGTGAGCGTTATGGAGTCAGGTTTACCTGACAGGTGAGTTGGAGAGCTTTTTTGTGGAATTTTGTATTCAATGAGAATATACAACAATAATTGCTGTGCGATTAGCTTGATTGTGAAGACTGGGTTGACATTAAATCCTTGCCTGAGTTAGTACAGTAAATGTAAAAGTACCCAGGGTGGAAGGTTTGAAAGCATTTGACACACTGCGAGGGTCGGATGAGATAAGCTTTGCAGGTGTATCTTGAGGAACGTCGGATCCAGCGTTGAGCTCCACCCTGCCTGCTGTTTTGATTTTGACCACATTTTCCACAGAAATAACGATCAGACTTTATTTTTAGTATACTGATCCCCACTGAGTTATTTGTTTTTTAATTTGTTCAGTTCTCAGTAGAAAGACGGGACTGTTCTGCTTATTCTTTGTATCTCCCGATCCCTCATCTCTCTCCCTCTGTGATTACGCCACATGTTTTTCTTCCCTCTGTGAAATATAGGCAAATTATTTTGCTCGAGCGGACTGAACCAAGCGTGAAGCTGAGCGCAGTGCGCACATTTCAATAAGTGCTCAAAACACAGAACTCTGCGAATAGAAATGGGCACCGCTGGCGCAGAGAGGACTCACTGTTAAGACCGTGACACAGAGAAGTATAGAGTACATGTGATGGGCTTCACAAACATAGTTTTCAGAACATTCCTCACTGCATTACAATAATACAGAATACAATAGGATCACGTCAAAAAATGAGACACGTCCACGTTAGGACCTTTCCCCTGGAGTCTCCGGGAAACCGTTTGGTGGGCTAGATACAGTGTTAAGCTGTTTTAATGGGAGAAAGGTCACACCTGCCGCAGAGATCCCCATCCTTTGACCACAATCAATAATCCAGGATGATCAGTTTGTGGATTTACGGATGGGTGCACTTCCTCCCGCAGAGATGCCGGCGAGAGGGAGAAAGGAGTATCGTTCCTTGTTATGTCGGGGAGACCAGGCTAATCAGCTGGTGTGAATAAAACACGGCCATGCAGCTTTTCACCTTTGGCTTTTGTCTTACGGTTTTAATCTTTCAAAGGCTCCTTTGTTGTACAGTGCTCACTGTTTTCACCACATTGTTTGCCGGTCTTCCTCAGCAGTATTTCCACATTCAGAGAAATCAATGCTGACCCCCTCTACAGTTCAGAAAACTCCATCAAGGAGAATACTGGTGGTGCTCGATCCCCTCAGATCTCCCGCTCTACCATGAGTGATTTATACACACAAACAGTCCGTTTTCTGATCCTGCGTCTTGTTCTCATTTCCTTCTGTTCGGTCTTTGCGACAACTTGATAGAAACCTTGAGCTGGCAAGCAAGAACAACACAAGTATTTATTTTTCATGTAACATCAAGTGAATGCATTGGTGAAAATCCTTCAACCAACATACATTTCTGCATTCAGTAGCCTCAGTAACTCATTCGTCAAGAGGTTTGGGCGTATACCTTTCCTGACCTCTGAAACTCGTTCAGATATTGAGAAATCTTTACTTCGACTTTGTTCATGTGCCAACGTCCATCAGCATCCCCGAACTTGCATCTTTGAACGGGGGTCACTAGCAATGTGCTGCCGGTTCATCAGTCCGGAAGCCACCAGCACCGGTCTCTGGCCTCCCTGCATGTGCCTGGCGCACCTCAGATGCTGGTCTGCAGCTCGCCATTGAGCAGGGCAGCATTGTGAGTCTCCAAGTTGATGATCATAGCGTCGTTCACCATCCTGCTCCGGTCTGCCCTGCTGTCGCTGCGCTCAATTTCGTCCAGGCCCGCTACCTTTTTTAGGCATAGGACGTTCTGAAAGCTCTTCTTGAAGTTGTCGGACAGAAAGGCGTACAGGATGGGGTTGGCACAGCTGTTAGCGTAGCCGAGCACCACCACAAAGTCAAAAGTGCTCTTCATGGCAGATGTGGGATTGATGGAGCTGGTGACGGAGGTGACGTTGAATACGTAGAAAGGCAGCCAACAGAGCACGAAAACTGCCACCACGATGGACACCATCCGGGTCACCTTGCGTTCAGAACGCTTACGCTTGGTGGATCCCACTCGCATCCCAGATGACTTCACCTGGCAAAGGAAGGCACTGTCAGTGGCTGTAAATCTCCCAAATATAAAAGCAGTTTGTTCAGAGAAGACACAGATATATCTTAGTAAAGTAAACATTTGACATTTTGTGAAATCTCTGTTTTCGCTTTTTACGCCAAGACACATGAGTAGTTTTCTACAAATTGATTGTCTGTCCTTTTAATATGACCTACATACTAGAGACAGCTATCTTAGCTTAGCATGAAGACAGGAGGCGGCCAGGCTGGCTCTGTCGAAAGGTAACTGTTCCCAAAATGAAGTGCAAGAACAGCCTTTTCTTGGGCTGTAAATTTGTGGACTTTATATGCAATATCTTATATTACTCTGGCAAGAGCAGATACGTGTTTTGTAACCAAAATGTCAAACGATTCCTTTAAGATCTTTGGAAACCGGCAATTACATTGGTATTGGTAAAGGCTGTAGGTAGGTAGACATTTACTGTAACCAAGCTAGGAGGACCCCAAACATTTGAGTCACTCAGGAACTCATAGAATTCATGGAAAAAATGTTGAATATACAAAATAACCCGAGACATGGTTTGGTAGTGAGACCAAGATTGTCAGCCTGATTAGCGATAATTTCTTACCATCCACTGTAAATTCAACATTACAACGAACAGTTTTAACTAATTCTGTTGAATTTAAAATGCTCAATTCCCCTGTTTCGTCTTCCAGGGAGCGTGTTCAAACTATCCTGGTGTGCTGTAAAAGTCAATATCAATCAAAAGACTTATTAACTAGAAGCGGCAAAATATTTTCACAATCTTTTGTCGACAATCTTTTGAATGTCTTTTGTCTTTCGACAAAAGACATTCTAGTCTGGCAGCCAGAAATAAGTGTAAGTAGAATCTTACCTTGACTATAATGAGCAGGTAGCACAGACATATGACTGCCAGCGGCATGAAGAACCCTATGAAGAAGGTGTATATTATGAAGGCCGTGTAATAGACATCCTGGGGCTCCGGCCACACAATCCCGCATACCGGCACCTTGTTAAGGCCACTAAAGATCAAAGTAGGCAGGATAACTAACAGGGACACACCCCATACAGTCAGGTTGATCAGCTTGGCCAGGCGGGGCTTACGCCATCTCGTGGACTTAATAGGGTGGACCACAGCCAGATACCGATCGATGCTCATCACCATCAGACAGAAGATGCTGGTGAACTGATTGAGAGAGTCTGGGAGAAGGGAGAGAGGAAATAGAAAAGTTAAATGAGGACTTGTACAAACACTTGCACTCATTGCTAATGCTTGTCGTAATTATTTTATCAGGAGGTGTATAAAGGGTGATAAAGGCGTTAGTTAGACAGCTATGTTGGCCGATACAGTTTGAATTGCTGCTAAAGCGTAAATATCTCTAATCTATAATCTTCATGTAATTGTTGCAGTACTCATTATCGATATTGGTCCTGGGGCCGTTCTAAAGAACCCTTTTCTAAAGTCTCAGTCTCATGTTAGAATCAAGCACATTTTTGCTTTGTCTCTGAAAAAGATGATGTTTGTTATCATCATTACTCTGATTGCTCATACAAAAACCAAGGAAAACTGTGCTGCCTTTTGATTATTTTATTGAGACTGAGTCTTTCCTAGTGCACTGTATGCAATGTACAGTTCTTATGGCGATGCAAGGGGTAAATCAAGTTTTCTGAGGGTGTTTTTATTGGAATGTTCATATCTTAGATTAAATCAATTATAATGTCCCACATTTCATTGCACTTATCTGGTCATGGTGGAGTCATGGTCTCCCCCTAGCTTGGTCTTGTTCTCAACCCCTTAAGGTCTCAATCTTGTCTACTTCTCGATACACTCTGGTCCTGGTCATGACTTGGTCTCGGCTTAGTTACTAGTAACTAAAACACTTCTACCCTTAATGAAACAGTTCAACATCTTGAGAAAGCATGCTTATATAAAGATGAAGCCACAGCTTGGAGACAGTGAGATTTTGAAGAAACAATTCAATTAAAATAACATTTGTGCAGCTATCTGTGTTTTCTGTATTTTGCAACCAACTGAAATGGCGATGAAATTTAATCATTTCCTTCTTGACGTAGCCAAACATATTTTGTCACCCCTGTAAAACCGCTTTCTCCGGTTGCCCTATTAGCTCCTCTGCTTTACACCTACCAACAGTCATGATCACCCTGCACAGCACCTCCCCAAAGGGCCAGTGCACCAGGGCCAGCTGCAGGGCGATGAACGGCAGGCTCATCATGCACAGAACATCCGCTACTGCCAGGTTCAGGATGTAGATGTTGGTCACCGTCTTCATCTTGGCGTAGCGCAGGATCACGTATATGACCAGGGCGTTGCCGCACAGCCCCACGCCACACACAATGAAGTAGATTAAAGTGATGACCACGGAGCTAGTCTTATCCTGGTGATGCTCTCTGGTCTTGGAGATGTTCAGGTCCAGGTCGGACTCGTTTCCCTGGAGGTAGCTGTCGTACAGGAGGGGCTCCGGGATGGAGATGTTTGGGGAGTTTGGGAAAAAGGGCCACTGGTCCAAGGCCATGATGGCTGACAGGGTTTTGGACTCTCAAGGGGCTTCAAGTCTAAAGGTGGCAACAGATGAAGATGTGTATCATTAAGGAGTTGGGGGAAGGTAGATATTATTGGGTTTCAGATTACAGGCTTTAAAGCATGATGGTACCATGCAAGACTGAAAAGGGACTTCAAGTTGTTGGATAAAAGGAGCAGTTTGTCACTTTGCCGTCTAAGTGTTTGGGCCTCAGGGGATCGGGATTACTGGGGATTTTAAATAATGTGGGACCACAAATATCACATCCTAACTGTGGAGATAAAGAGCAGGATGGATCTATGGAGAGGGATACAGAAAGAAGAGCAAGGTTGGATGACATACAGAACAATTATTCAACAAATAATAATAGCCCTTAAAGATCCATGGGAACGGTTGCGAGGTTACTTTACATAACTGGTTTCACGTCTATAATCAGAGTAACATGCAGGATATTCTCTCTAGTGAATACTCCGGACATGTGCTCTTTACACATTTACAGTAGTTCTCGTTATCCTTAAAAACGCACAATTCCTCTCACGACAATCATTTGGCACACAGAGACCCAGAGGAGAGGCTTAGGTGGCATTCCGCCATGTCCAAATTTCACACAAAGTGCAGCCTTCGAAAAAAAGATTTATTTTTCTCACATAGCAAAGGAAGACAGAAAACAGAGAAGGCTCATACGCGAGAAGTACAAATACACAAATTAAGCTGTACGCAACCAAAACACAAGACAGTTTGTCATGGCAATCTGCTGAACGCTTTTGCACTGATTGAAATTTCTAGATCAGGCTCGGGCAACTCAGCATCACGGGCAGATATAGTGTCAGTTTCGAAGAACAATCGATCAGCTGGCTCTCACCTCAGCTTAATACTCTCTTTTCTCGCTTTTTACCACCGAGCCCATAATCCCACCAACGCTACGCAGAGCCAAGTCATCCAGGTCAGGCATGTTTATACGAGTGTGTGCGTACATGCAAAAAAAAAAAGGTACGCCTGAGCGAGAACACAACGACGGCCCCGTGCTGCAGAAGACAAATGTTTATTCAATTGATCTCAGGGACAAACAGCTCTGGCCCTGTGGAGGGGATTACCCATTTTTTTGTACCGCAGTGACAATTTATCTGAATTACATTTGATTGTAGGCCCACTTTAGACTGTCCGCCGCTGACATTGTTAGGCACTCTTACTTAAAGATGAGGCACGATACTTGTGTGAATGTGTGTGCACACAACGGGACTTCTGAGGATTATTGGGGATTTATTTTTCTAATCTAGTAATCACAAACAAGCAACAGTAATGCCAGAACCAAAAGAAATGTACTGTTTTCTCTGCTTGTCATTAAAAACAAAATAAATGTGATTGATGGTAAGAGTAAAACACAAGTATTGTAAAACCACTGTATAGGGGAACTCTATAGATCCGTCCATCTTGACATGCATGACTGTTTAAGCATTAAGCGTCCACTTCAGGAGTGTTTTGTAATCTCACAATGATTTTCAAGCTGTTCCACCAAGAAAAAAAAGAGACACTCCTTTTAACGCACTCCCAAGGGGGTTCCATCATAGACCTTTGCACTGTGTGTGTTTGTGTGTGTGTGTGTGTGTGTGTGTAAGCGCACAGACTTCATCCTGCACTAATGATTTGGGGGTGGGGGGCTAGGTTCATTACTGTGCCACTGTGGGCATTATTTGATAACATCTTGTGTTTTAATTATCAAGCCAGGTAATTGCATTATCAACGAGTAAAGTTGGGGAATTGCAGGTCTATTAAAACTCTCACAAAGACCTGCCTGACACACACTGCAGGATGGAGCTGCATTTGGTGCACGCCAACTGCGTGAGTCGATGGAGTGGCGCCAGCGGGGAAACAGCAGGAGCCTCACGTTGACCTGCAGGCTCAACAGGACTTTCTCTCATTTCACGAACCTTTAGATTGGAGGTGAAAACCCACCACTCACTCACTATTCATTTTAACCAAATTCCCCTGTTAATCCGTGTTATCCACTGTGGTTTATTACCTGTGCGGGGATGAGTAAGCGTCTCCCCACCTCTTGTGCCAATCTCAGATTGCGCATAATGTGTTGGGTGTTCCTTCGAATCCGTTAATTGCAATAACCGCTGCGTCATGAATTAACGCGGGACGGTAAATCGAGTTAATTAGTTACTTTGATCAGATGAAATAGACCCGACTATACAGGGATCGTATCGACGTGTGTCCACACAGTCCACACAGACGTGTCAATCGACGAGGACACATTTAATGAGAACCATAGAAAATGTCCACAAACTGTCAACAGCATCACTTACTTTTAAATTGAAAACGGAAAACGTGCCCTTCATATCAAGTCCATCGTGACAGAGATTCAATCAGCAGAGAATGTGGAGTCCAGCCGCTCCAGAGCGCACAAACTGCCTCTCCATCCACCTGCTCCCCGGGTATTACGCACGGTGCCCCCCTTAGTCAGGGCTTTTGGCTGTGCTTCGTCTCTCAGGTCTTCACCTCCGAGAAATAATCCCCGTTTGGAAACCGAAACTTTGACAGACCGTGGATAGAGGGGGAAAACGCCGCTGTAGGCTCTCAGCGTGATGCGTCCACGGACAAAGTCTTGATTGCGAATCCCCTGTGACGAGTCATCACTCAGATCAGCAAGACGCACGACCGCACCAGAGAGAGAGGGAGAGAGAGAGGTTGAGAGAGGTAGAGAGAGGGAGGGAGGGAGGGAGGGAGAGAGAGAGAGAGAGAGAGAGAGAGAGGGGATTGATCAGTAGAGGCGTTGAGCGCGTCCCCCCCGTGTGCGTCGGCGTCCGGCGTTTTGCTGATATGGAATCATGCAGAGTTGGCTCTTTTTTTTTTTAGCGCCATGTGTCATGAATTGAGCTTCTTATTTCGCTGCAAACTGTGCACGGCCAGTCCACGCAGCCAACTGTTCTTAAATGTGCGATGATAAACCAAGTTAGGGGTGAAATGTCCACACATCTTACCTTAACTTCGACAGCAGCTCCTCATTAACCCGAAAGGTAGTTTTCACTGCAGTTTGGAGAGCAGAAACAAAAAATGCAGAAAAACCAAGATGGCAGAACGATATGCAGGCCTTCCACTTCCAGATCGCAGTCAGTTGTGCGCAACCTTGTCAGCCGAAAGCGATTCAACTCAGATCTGCAAGACGAAGCCAATTCGCAGCCCCTTTATTCCCACCTTTGTAGAGGAGGAGTAAATAAAATGGTTGGTGTCTTCCACGACCTCTCCATGAGAAATCCATCCACTAAAGTGCAGCTATTATTACGACCAGCTCTTGTCATATCAAAGATGAATCTATTTATGTCCTATGAGAACTGAAGCTGTTTAAGAGGGTAAACATCGTGATGTCTTCAGTGAATCGCCATCTGGGTAAACAAGTGGACAGACGGTTCAGTTTCTGTGGTTTAAGGTTAACAAGTTGTCTGGGGACTACATCTGACCTGCAGACCGTTTCAACTCAATTTAAAAAAACTGGTCAGCGAGGCCAAAGTGCTGGGAGAAGCGAAGTCAACAGTGCAGCGTTCCAGCATTTTAATTAAAAGTCTTTTGGGGTTCTGATTGGCTCCACTGGTGGCTTCAGTCTCGTACTCCCTCTGCGCTCGTTTGTGGTGTGAAAGCAGACGAACCACACCGGATTACATTTGAAAGCTGACTGAGACCCGCCTTACCAAAGTGGGCATGGTTCTGATATTTGGTCAGCCACAGGGTTTGACTGGCAGCTTCAAACGGGCCAAATCAGTCATACTTAAGTCTACTCAAACCAAACGACCTGAAACCATTCTAAAGGAGTGCTCGGACAGAAAACCAAGCCTAAGTGATGGATTTCACGGAAGCTGAAACATTTACCCCACTTCCAACAATGTGCACCGCCAAAGGAAAATTTGGGACTACTCATGTGTTCACGCTGACTTTGTGTGCAATCGAGCCGCCCCTAAAATTCGCCCTGAGATAAGGACTATGTTGTTCAGAACACGGTTGGGAAACAATCAACATTCCGGCAAACGGTGGATGCTGAAAAGCCAAAGGAAAAATCCCTGTCAACATCCAATCTCCAAAAACACAAACGGTATCAGACAAGGAGGAGAGGAGCGTCGGGGAAACAGGGTTTCATTTTCCCAATTCATTTTCCATGTTTGGTTTGTATCATGTTGAATTTCCTTCATGCTCCGAAACTCATTCTGCAATCCCCAACGGCCTCTTCGCCGCACAAATCAAGTTAGTTATTTCATTTGCTGTACACATTATTGGCAAAGCAGAGCTCAAGTCAACAAGATGTCATATTACTACATAGCTTTGAACGTCATCGGTCAACATCTCCATATGCCCCTCAACTGTGACACCGGTCTGAGTCAACATGAATCCAAATTGAAGGGTAAAGGTCCATTGATGATAAGCCGTGAAGGATCGAAAGCAGTCTTACGTTATGTCCCTTCTTGCTCCTTCCCTACGCAGAACAAACAAGGCCAAAACCACAGAAATTACTTACAGACTACATGGGATGCTCTTTTTCGTTTTTCTTTTCCCAATTAGGTGATCAAGTTTATGATTGTGAACTTTGGGCCGCGAGGTTTTGGTCAGATCCGTTTGAAGTGATCCAGGGCCGCCACCGACTGGAGCTGCCGACGTGACCGCTGAAATATTCGTTCGCTGTGTGGACAAGGTGTTACTTGGAAGAGTGAAACCGCAAGAGAAAAGTGTCAGGCCGTATTCTCGTATACCCTTTTTTCCCCTCTTGCAGCCCAACGCTTACAATGTTGTCATGTGTTATTCTTTTGCTTTATTCCCCGGCGGCTTGACATACATTTTCTTAGCCAATGGCATAGTGAGCACACAAACACCCTCCCCAAAGTGTGACCGATGCGATGCTGCTGCCAAAGGAGGAACCTTGACCTGGCGCTTGTTGTGAAAGTTTTCCAGGGAGACTTTAAGTATTCATAGTGCCATGAGGTATTCCTTGTTTATCGCCTTGGCAACTGGTGACGTAGCATTACTACGGCGCATACATGCAGATGCTGCCTCACATTAAAGTTTACATGAGTTCATTTCCTTCCACACGGGGTGAAGAAGGGCCAGGCCTATGGAGAGATTGTGACATGATGGGCCCCGGGGTAAAGGACACAACTGGGGCATTGGTAGTCGTTTTGTAATCTCTATGAACAGATGTCTGCACGAGGCTTTAGGATCTCGACAGGACGAGATTTTGCTATTCCGGTTTACGTTTGTGGTCGAGAGTAGTCATGACCAGTCGGGCTTGAGTGAGATCAGGGTGAATGAAGGCAAACAATCTGTGTTGAGAGAAAATAGGCAAAAGGACTCTTTTTAATTTCACCGCAGTCATATGACCTGACCTGACAATCTGCTTGTGGACAACGAATCGCATCGGATGTTTCTATTTGGCGTGTAAACAATGGCCGGGGAACAGAAGAGGAAGAAGAGAAGTCCTAGATAATCTTTATCAGGATATTTATTAGCCACACTGGTTCACCCAAAATACTGGACCCTACACCCAGAGGGCCGAGTGGTGGTCAGAACGTGTCTTGTTTTGTGTTTTGTTTAGCCCTTTTGTATCTTCTTGTAGTTTGGAATATCTTTTAGTAGTTCAGGTCCTGCTGTTGGCTCAACAAGTGCTTGTACACAATTGTTCAGACTGGAGATCCAGTCCACTCTTGCAGATGCTACGGAGATTTACCAATTTAACCTCACAGTCCTCTCGCCTCTTAGAAACATTTTAACAGATATAAAATATGTAACGTTTAAATGACGGTTAGCCGGGACATCCAACCTCGCCTCTGCCATCACAGGTTTTAACTTGAATTTTTATCAACCAGTGATGATTTAAGCCAAATTAAAACTTGGCTAAAAAGTGAAAGATTATTGCCCGTTTGCAGCGATTTGTATGCAGGCCTACTGTCGGTCCAGACTTTTCAACAGGAATTTAAAGGCACTGACAGCAACTAAAGGAACCGTCATACATTTCCAGCAGAATGAATCAAAATAAGGCGTCAAGATGAATTGGCAAACACACATGTGTTTGTGCAAGTACGCTGCAGGCTAGTTTTTCCCCCATGTACTTGTTGTTTTGTTGTTTAATGGTTCATTTTGCAGCACACTTTGTAATCACTGATTTTGAAAAAGAACATAGGCTACAGACATTCGATTGTCTACAGTATTCATCTCAAAGAGTTGCATTTAGCAATAACCATTGTGGATGATGTTGCTCGTACAGATCAAATCTGTGGGGATTGCGAGCACACAGAAGAGCCAGTAGTAGTAGCCAGTGTCAGGTCACCATTATTATGTCCTTTAGTTTATTGGTACCACCTGCATTTATTGTGTGTGTCTGTGCGTGCGCTTCGGCTGCTGACAATGCCGCTCTCAGCCTCCCGCTTGACAGAGAAGCGTAGACAGGGGTCGAAGGGGAGAGATGTAAAGGTGAACATCATGTCATGTTATTTGCAGTCTAAAGGGTAAATTCAACCTTTTTCCGAGTCCCAGGTTAAAGAACAAGAACTAAATGGAAGTAACATCTTGAAAGTTGAGAACATTTCAGCCACACATCAGTCTAAACAGACATTCAGACGCAATAAGTACCTTTGTACACGTGTGCCTGTGCGTTTGTTTTGTTTGTGATGCAAAAGAGTGTATTTCTCTTCCCTGGTGTGTGTCTGAAAAATTGTAGCTGGTGTCTGATGTTTTGTTTTCAGTAGAGAGTTCATTCACCCGTAACAGAGTTGATCAAAACCAGCCACCGCGGGCACTTCAGACCGGACATGGATGGTCAATCAACTGCACTCGGGGGAGTGCAGGGCTTCACCATGGCGTGGAAGCAGGAGCATCTGTCTTCGCTGTTGGAAAACAATGAAACAATAAAAAACGATTTGGAATATTAATGACATTGTCTCCTTAAAATGTGGGGTTAGTGTTTGGCAGCATGGGGTGGGACACCAGTAGGATGACACAGGATGAGCAGGCAGTATTAATAGTGAAGAGCCCTTTGGAGTGCAAATATCAGCAGCAATCCAGCAGTTTGAATGTAACTTGAAACATTCTTAACCCCGCACTCCATAGGCAAATTGCGAGCTTGCATAAGAAATCTCCACTCACCCTGACAACCTATTATGATACCATGCCCACTGAAATAGCTTCCAGGCACAAACCCCCGAGGGCTGAGGACATGAATCATCCTGAGATGACACCCTACTGTGTTATCGCTGTGGTCCAAATAGCTCGCTGGGCGCGTCAGCTGACACATGTTTCTCAACGGCCTGCGTGGTTAAATGCTCATTGCATTGATGTGAAGGATCACTTAGCTGAATAATGGGCATAGGCCATGGCTCTGATGGAACACTGTAATGGTCCACAACCAGAATCCATCTTGAAGGTTGTCAGGAAGCACAACACTACATTATTGGCTGTGAATAGAAGTTCAATAGATTCCTCGAGTTTATAAAGCCTTTCAAACTCCATGTTAACGGAGAACATCTATCTACTGAGATATTGTGCTTTTGGAGGATGTGGCATTTCAGACTAAGGGCCAGTGGCCAGACAAACAGTTTCCTCCTTTTCCGTCGTTAACAGGACCTGGAATATAGAAGCCAATGGTTCACACACATTCTCATTTTTCAGATTCAACTCACTGTCATTGATAATTTGAATTTA